TAATGGGAATTCTTTCGTCCTCTGGCTTTTTTTTTATTTTTTAGGACAAAGCTCACTAGATTCTTGTGGGTAAAAAAAATTGTAGCTTTGGAGAACAGTGAGCGATCAACGATGCAGCGAAATCGAAAAGGCAAATTCGTATTTAGGGAGGCGTTGAGGGTTTGCATACACGCTGCAATCAAACTCGGCCAATTAAAAATCGGAAATCGACAATGGGCTCGCGCTCAGGTAAGAACGCATTAAGCCCGAAAACAATGAGACATAAAGAAAAACAACAAAGACATCGGAACGAAAAGAAAAATAATAATAAACGATCGGCATCTCGTTGCGCAACGCGATACGAATACTATGAGCACCAACGAGCGTACATGCACGTGTACGCGTAAAACGAAAAACCACGCATGCATCAGAAACGAAATGGCATACGAAGAGAGCGGACGGGCCATTATAATAGAGAGCGAGTTCTCTTTCATCGGGCGACCCCTCCGTAAACGTAATTTCTGTAATTTTCCCTCTCTCTCTCTCTCTCGTTGCGCACACACACGCTCGCGCTTTTCATTAGCAGTGCTCCCTCTTGCCTTCCTCTTCATTTTCTTCTCTGGATAATTAATTTGAGCGCCACTCGCGTGACCCTATACGCGTAAAAAAAAAAAAAAAAAAAAAAGGCATCCAGCACTGGCTGGTCGAAAAGGGGCCTCCTCGCCGGCTAATTAATTTATTAATTTATGACCATTAATTTTACAATCGCACGATACTGCAATCATACGCGCGCGGATAATATAACCCGCAACAACAACAACAACCACAACAACAAAGGTTGTACTTACACGGGCAAAATTCATTACGCGGCGTTTTAAAGCTCTCGCGCCCTCGCGCTTAATTTATGCGGAAGCTTAATGGAGCCGAGCATGCATCAGGTATATGTTTATACGCGTGTAAGATATACTCGCCAAGAGCGCTAATTGGCTGAAACTTGGAGCAAAGGGATATGTATATATACGTGTGTGTGTATGTTTGTATGCACCAGTACTCTCACAACTACATTTTTCCTTTTTCTTTTTCGTACGCGAGTTGGCACTTTGCTGTGCATAATCTGTACATCACGGTGTGGATAAATACCACGCATACGGGGGTCTTGCACGATTTCTGCACCCCCTCTGTTCTGTAATTATTGCGATCGGCTGTTTTTCTCTTTCCTTTGAAACAAACGTGCACCTGATGCGTACACGAGGATTACTGTGTACATAGTTTTGAGGAATTTTTACGAGAAGCCGTTGTTTCTTGTTGATTTTTATACGTATTACCATTGTTAATTAAAAATTAAATTAAACACCAAGTTGCTGCTTTGGTTGAAAGTTACACACGAGTTTAAACACTCGAGGACAACACTGAAGTCGAGGAGTAAAGAAAATAATGTGAGTAATAACATAACTATACTTGGGTATTATACTTTTAGATTTACAATCTATTGTTGTTGGACTTGTTGATTTGTCGCATTTACGGAAAAAGATGCAAAAACACAATAAAAGATGATAATCACTCGACAGCGACAACAAGCGTATAGAAACACGTATCGTTTTCTCATTCGTGAGGTAATGAAAAAAAAGCTTGTACAACAACAAAAAAAAAATCCAAGCGAAAAGATGAGTAGCCGAAGCGATCGAAAAGTGTGTTCACCGAGAGCTACGCACACATACGAGTAGGTGTGCGCTCACTTGTACAGTATACCGATATTTCCGTATCCGGCGTGGGTGCAGATGCGTGATATCGTGCTGTTACTTGTAAATAAGTAAGTATCTCTGTGCAACTCGAGTTATTCCAAAGGTCCTTTGCTTTAAAGACAGGCGCCGGTAGTACGGGGAGAGAATATTATCCTTTCGTGGCGCCTTCGTATGTACATGGTAATATACACTAATACACGTATACCCATTCGTTTTTGCTTCTTCGTGTATGGTATGTTATAATAGACAATGGCTCGAATATCTCTCTTGGAATGTAACGAGCGCGAGAGAGACTTGGCATGAGAGCTTGGAAGGTGCTTCGTTTACATGCTGGTTGTTTAAATATCCGTGTATACATAATATGGTGGAAATGCAGTAGAAAACGCGTTTTATATTCTACATATTGTATGCGTTTTAAATTAATTAATTTTTTTTTTTTTTTTTTATTGTTCCTTTTGTTTCTTTTGTTTTGTCATCTTCGTTTCACAGAGTACGCGCGGGTATCGATGTACGTAGGTATACGTGGACATAAGAAAATAACAGCGTTTCCGAATCACTGTTATTTGCACAAAGTGTTCCCAGGTATACATATATACATATGTATATTCTCGAAAGTTTACTGATAAATTTTTACGATCGTGCTATTTTGGTGCACTGCGGCTTACTTGATCCATCGATCTTTTCTATTTCATTTGATTTATTTTTTTTCGAGGAGTATTCACTACTTGGGAGTTCTTGGACGTTATTCGGGATTTATAAAATACAATGCTGTGTGGCTTTGTTGATAGATGGTATATACTAACAAATCGTGCTTGGAGCTTGTATACTTAACAAGATACTTCTCATTTTCCGCGTTATTTGTAAAATGTTTAGCGTTATTTTTTTAATGGTGACAATTATTTTTAAATTCATCCAAAAAGATACAATTGATACGCACAATCTGTATAATATTTTGATAAGTACCAAAATCTGATTGAAACTATCGATTTTCTGGCATATTTTAATCACCTTTTTTCAAGGAAAAAAAAAAAAAAAAAAAGTTTCATTATTTTATGCATATCTTACCACTTTGTTTGCGTCTATCAAAAAAACGTACCTCACCGAAATAGACACGATCAATTCAAATAATCCTTAGATATACATCTATATACGCAAAGTCATTAAAGTAATAAAAAGTCCAAAGCGGCTTTTTCCATCCCTCCCTTTCTCTATCTCTTCAACTTCACGAGGGCCCCCGAGTACATGCACTGAATAATAGACTTTAAATTATATACATTTGGTGCACTGGTAGCATAATTGAATAATTGAAATAATCACGCGCTATACCGAGAGGATAGCAGCTCCCTGTGTGCTCGCACATTTTTTTATCCTGCAAGTACCACTCGATCCGCCTGTGCGTGTGCTCGAACAGATACGCGTGTCTTTGAACAAAAAATCCAAAGATCGACCATTAAGCATGTATTTCGTTACCCTACTTTTTTTGTTATCCTACCAACAACGTGCGTACTTATACATAGTACACCATAGTCGTAAAGAAATTCTTAAGCGTCTTTTAGGCGTATATGTTGTGCTTTGGAGTGGCACTGAACATGATGCGTATTCCACTACCACTGCAATGTTACCTTTTAATAGGATATAATGATAGGGGAATTTTTTGCTCTTATTATCCTCTAGTTGAAAATCGACGAGTTATGAATTATTATATCAGTAAAGGCACTACCAGCATTGCATCATGATGATTGGAAGTCTATTGGATAATTCTTTGCGCAACACTGCGCAAGACGCGTTACAACATGAAATTTTCCACATCGAGAAATTTTTTTTCGATTTTGACGAGGCGATTTGATTATTTCACAAGTATAAGGATGTTGAAGGTTTGAGAGGAGTTTTCAAAATTCGTCATTTGGTACACACCAACTTGGATCGCGTGTCAGTGTAATGCGTGTGTCTGTAGGTTCATGCAAGGTCTCAGAAAGTGGTGCTTTTTTCTTTACTTTTGGAAGCTCGAGATCAAGTCAATGCTTTACTGCTTTTCTTTATACCCTACGATTAAAATTTTGAGGTGCACAAAAAAAAAATTCACTTCTCAAGGGGACCTGTAGGTTTTTGTGTGAGGGATCGCTAATATAATGTGTCTACAGGGATGTAATGATAAACTAAGTGCAAGTACATTATACGTAATAGCTCAGAAGCAAACCTCAGATGAAGGTGTGCCATAATTCGCGTAGAAAGGTAAGTATAGGAATAGTATTCAAATTGCCCCTGGGATAGGGGGATGCATAAAATCGGCACGAGTAAGTAGTGCCTGGCGCCGTCTACCGATCTTTTCCTTTTGTTACACTCGTTTGATATCCCTCAAACAGAGCTCCGCAATCGAATCATTCACTGTTCGTGAATGATTGATCCTGCTGTATTTTCCATTTTCAGTGCACGCAACCCCTTTGGGCATTTTTGATTCTCACGTGTGAATGGGTATTATAGAAGGCTCATCTTCACTGTTTCGAGTGAATAAAAACTAATCGAACTACTTGCAATTGTTTAGCAAGGCCTTCGTTTTTTGTGTCTTCGTCAACTCTACCCTAGCAATTAATAAATAATTTGCCATCTACTTACACTATGATTCCATCGTGAGAGAAATCGGTAAAAAATGATTTTCTCCTGAGTTTCGGGGTCTATTTTCAAGCATTTTTCCGGGGAATTCCAATCGGAAGAAAGTATCCGTAGTTTTTTTCACTGTTCAGTTTTACCAGATTTGCTTTTATCGGGTATAAATGCAACATAAAGTGCGTTAATAGAAGCTGACGAAGCCGATCTTCATGGAATCAACTTGATAATTATAGAGGTAAGATTTCCACTACTACATACATCATTTTGATTTTCCGCTTTTAAAAATTGTTAATCATTCAAACCAAATCATCAACAACCCAATCGCTTCGATTAAATCGTTCTTGAGAAAACGAAGATGGGATATCCATTCATCACGTATTTCTCACCAAGGAAATGCAGTGCCGGGTTTTTCTAAACAATTTTTCGTAGATAAGCAGTAGTTATGACACATTACAACGCAAATTACCTGTTCATCAAATGAATCACGTTTGGTCTTCCTACAACTACAAAATCCATTGTTAGAATCGAAAATATTATTATCTCTCACTACTACTGAAACGTTGAATCAATTTTGCAAAAATCCACTGTTTTGAAAAACACAGCTTAGTCATAGGGTAGATGTTTATCAACACATTGAGAAGAAAAAAAACAAATTGATTTAGAGTCACTCACCAACAATTCAAACCTTCAGCGTTGACAGCATCTACTTTCGCGGGCAACTCTGTTGGTAATCCGTGCGTTTTCCGTCTCTCTCCTTCTCTCTAATGCTCTTTCTCTCTCTGGTGTTGCTACTGCTAAACACTGTAGTGGCTGTGTGTGTTGTGGGTACGAGACACGTTGTCCGTCAATCAGCTTTTGCAAAACTCGTGTGCAATAAACATTGGCGTCTGTTATACAGGTGCTGAAAAAACAACAGAGACTTCATAAACACATCGGACCACTGGCTAGTCGTCGGAAATCAGGTGTGTAATAATCTAGCGGTATATTTTAACTGCTCGCAAGCTCCAACCTTTTACACCGATTTTCGCATCGAGTGCTGCTTATTCTGGATTTCTTTGCGTGTTGATATCTTGTCGGGATAATAATTTGGTTATTGTAACAAATACTGCGGTGCCTAGTTATTAACAAACCTTTCGGAAGAGGAGAATAATCAACATCCGAGTCGTGTCTAATGGAAATATATGCGAGGTTATAGGCTGCGTAAGGCAGGTTAGGTGTTTATGTTTTTCTCCGGCGCTCCGGCCGAATGTTGTGGTAGCACTGACGCGTTCGTCTGCTCCGGCGTTCTTTGACTTGACGCGCGAAAAATATGAAATGTACTTTTTATAAATGTTTGGACTTTTTTTTTAATTACTAGAGATATCATTGTGATTTTGTTCCTTTTTTCCGAAGAATTTGTTGATGTTTGTATTTCTTTGTGCTACCTGATACGTTGAATCGTTGTCTTTTACATTGAAGTCAGAATATTAAAAATGTTCTTTCGTTATTTTTTTCCCAAGAAATTTTTATTGTATTAATAATTATAAAAATAGATACGATAAGTAATAGTATAGAAAAGGTCTTTTGGCTCGTGCGATTGAAATATTTTCATTGAAATTTTATACAATTGTACACAACACTTATCCTTTTTTTTTTTCACAAAAATACTTCATAAATTTTAATCTAGCTGAAAAAAAATCAATAAACTAATTTATTTGCTAAAAAAACTTATCCTTCCACTAATCACAGCATTTAAAGAAAATCTATACATTCACACTGAAATATTAACAACATACAGAGTCAAGTACAATTACTTTTATGGATTTTTAAACTACTTGTAAAGAATTTTTTTTTTTTTCTTCAATAAAGTGCCATTTTTGCTTAAAAAAAGCTTCATTGTTGATCACTATTTACAATGCAATGTTGTTAAAATTTTATTTTATCTCAGGTAAGGTCAAAACATTTAAAATATTAAAGTTTATTGTAAAGTACATTTGAAAATAAAATATTGAGAAGTAATATAAAACAATATTTTAAGCACAAATAGTGCATTGCATTTTTTGGCAAAAGCATTACAAATATCTTTACCCAAATGTAGCAACATGGAGATGTATCGCAAGAGATCGACCAAAACTATACCTAACGCGATCGGAAGAGGTGTACACACACCATCAGAGTATGCTTGCAAACAAAACGTCAGAGTAAAAAGAGAACGCGAGGGAGGAATAAAGAGGGATGAAACCGCAAAGAGAGAAAAAGAAAGAAAAAAAGGTCCTCTCGTAGAAAAGCCGGCGCCAGAACCGCGGTAATTTGAATGTCGTGCCGCTCCCCTCGTTATACTGTAATTTACGAACATATTCTCGGAGGCACCCACACTGCGTGTACACACGCCACCGCAGCACCGATAAATACCACGGATCTAACAATACACCCTCGAATCGTTTACGAGCGATCATAAAGACGCCGTGGTGGTGGGAGAAGAAGCTCTCTTTCTCTCCATCACCCTCCGAGTGTACCTACTCGTCTTTTCCTTTTTTTCTCCCTATGCATGCCCCTCGTAAAGAAAAAGGACCCGCTGGAAATACCCTACACTGCAGCCATCGGAGAAGAGCAAAAGCGGTGCTGGAGGTAATAAAGAGAGAGAACGGGGCGAAAAGGAGGAAGAAGGAGCCGCAGGATGGATATATATATATAGGCGCGCGGTGGCGGATTGGCAGCCTCGGGCGTGGCTGCGCGATACCGGTGATTCGCGCTCGCGGTGCCCAGTAATCGGCTCCAAAACCGCCTTTGCCCCCCCCCCCTTCCCTCGTCTTCTTCTTTTTCTTCCTCGTCGTTTTCTCCGCTCCGTGCTTTTCTTGTAAATTCTGTTTTTCTTTTTTTTTTTGCTAATCATCCGATGCTGCGTCGTCATTAATTCAATTATTTTTTATCCCAAACAAAAGTATCTGACGACGTTTTCAAAGTATATAACATGCACCTATCCCCGTCGTCGAATCTCCGACCGTCCGACTAATTTAAAGGGATACGTATACCCATTCTGCCCCGAGGCGCCCGTCGTATGTGTTCCGCGATCGGCAGCCATTTCTGCGCGCCTCTGTACCCGGGGCGCGGCCGATTACCGATAAACACTCTGCAATTATTGTCTGATGTTTGAAAAAGTTTTTAACTTTAATGAAAAATCTACGGGTAAAAGAAAAAAGTTGACCGTTTAAATGGCATTTGATGTGCAGCATATGATCTTCTGAAATCCGGAAAATAACCGTATGGAGCAAATATTTATTCTTTCGTACAATTGAGTCGTCGGGCAAAATCAATGTCCGAGAAAGAGCCAGCAGTGACATGTATACAAGAAGGCCATCGCCTATTTTACTCCATCTCTCTGAAGCGCGCGATCGCTCGGGGGCCATCATTTTCATGTAAGTGGCCATCATCGCCCATTGCCTATGTCCGTGTAAAATCGTCCGGCGCCACTGTAGCGCGGCAGGAGCAGCCTTACGAAAGGCCCAGAGCTACGTACACCGCGTTTGCGAGATATACTGTTGTTTGAACATTATGCGAACGCGTCCGCGGAAACCCATTTGCCTCGATTGGCTCTAATGATAAGCCAAAGACGCGAGATGCACCACGAGATACGCGTACATACGCGGGCATTTTTCTGCGTATCGATACCGATCTCCTGATGATCCGATGACGATCTGCTTCGTTTATATAGGAATCAGGGTTTTTGGGATTATTACATTTGCGATAGCGCATATCTATCCTATAGTTTCCGAGGTTAAAAAAAAAAAAAAAAAAAAAACTTTGATCGGTAAGATTTTAATTTCATAAATTTCTCATCTTTTTTGTTCCAGAATGCCACCGAAAAAAGTCGAGGAACCAGAAAAGAAGCCGCTCATCGGGCGCATCGGCACGAATCTCAAAATCGGTATCGTTGGCATACCGAACGTCGGAAAGTCAACCTTCTTCAACGTCCTGACAAAGAGCCAAGCTGCCGCGGAAAACTTTCCCTTCTGCACCATCGATCCGAATGAGAATAAGTACCTTTTTTTTATCATTGCTGTATCCATGAAAATATACACAAAATTTTGCGCAAATGTTATCTCAAAATTGCCGGCTCGATCCGCAAAACTACGCGTAAAATTCCCAAGCTCTATCTCGACTGACCCAAAGTTCACCGTCTTTCGCTCTCTCTGTTCGATCGTTACATAAATTTTTACTACAATGCGCTTTTTACACTTGCCGTATTTAAAAGTAAGTATTTGATGATACTCCTGTGATGTCCACACAAAAGTTCTCGCACACGGTTCGACTTTTGTTTGTCCCCTCCCACGAATAGGCACGCCATAACCTCCAAAATCTCTCGATATCGCGATGTCGTAACGCACGCCCTACGTTAGAAAAAAAAAATGCATTTGAACGTCAAAAACAAAGAGAAAACCCCCGGTAACATCGACACGTCGATTGTCGCCCGACGCAGCTTGTTGCCACTAATCAGAGGTCATCGTCGTCGCGCCGAGCTCAACGATCCCTACTCCGACGAAGGAGCCCTAAGAAAGTACCTCGGCTCGAAGCCCGTGTGCTACATCGTCTTCGGCAAACCCGGACTGGACACCGAACGACTCGCCGAAGGAATCGCCGACGCCAGAAAGTGCGTTCTAGTATCGGCGACGGGGACCTTGCGCGAGATAGAGGGCGACTGCGACTCGAGGGTAGATGTAGCGTGGAACTCGATAGTCAATCAGGTTAACGCGGCCGACGTCCAGCACAGGGGTTATGTACTGGAAGGTCTGCCTCTCGTGCGCGATGAGGAGGAGTGCACCGAAGAGGTTACCGATCGAGTGCCGGTTGTCACCGCATCGGAGGATGAGTTTGTCAAGGTGACTTTGAGCGACTGCCTTCCTCGACTCGACTCCAAGGAATTGGCGGGAGTAACTTCGTCAAGCACGTCCGTTGACTCGAGCGGATGCACATCGTCCACTAACTCTAGCAGCAGAACGGTAAGGATGAGCAATCACGTCGCTTGTGACTGTGAAAACAGTACCAGCCAAAGGTGCGAGGCTTCGAACCAACTGCGAGCTGTGTTCGAGGACTGGCAGCTGAAGCCCGACATCGTCGTGAGCCTCAACTGTCCCGACGACGAGATCCTTGCCATGCAACGCAAGAGTTGGCGCGAAGAGTCGCCGATGCCTTCCGCCGAGGACTGCGACTCGGACGCCACCAACACCCTGTCGAGCAGGACGCTTGATCGGCTCTACAGAGATCTTTGTTCCCGGGAGAGCGTCGAAAGCTTACAAATTAGGTTAGGGAGCGAACTGCGGAGGTACAACGAGCTCGCCGCAGAAGGCGTCGAGAGCACCGTGGCCGCCCACGATCTTTCGAAGGTGATACGCCTCGACGGCCGCTACCCCACGGACCACCTGATCGACACTGTGAAGGTTCGCCTGCAGACGATGCCCCTGCAAGTGGTCGTCGTCCCCGAGAGATTGACAGACAGCGATGGGATGGACCCAACGGACGAGGAAGACGAAGAGTACGAGGACTCGCTGAAGGACGATTCCAGCGCTCTCGACGAAATACTTGGACGCCCCGGGGGAGCTAGATGGAAGCTGTCGCCCTGGAAGCTGCTCTGCCCGGTCGAGCTGGCGCGGGGCCGACGTTGCGAGGGCAGCCGCAAATTAGCCGTGGGCTTCGCGAACCGCGTGTTTTTTCTCTCCACCGGCGAGGCGCTGAGAGCTTTTGTGACCAATCCGAGGCCGTACCTGTTGCCTCCGAACCCCAGGCCGTGCTGCAAGGTTGCCATAATGGGACCTCGGTACTCGGGCAAGAGCTCGCTGAGCGCCGAACTGGCCTGTAAACTGGACAGCTTTGTTGTCGACGTGACGGAGTACCGGGCGCGATTTTATGACGATGTCGTTGGCGCCGTGCAAGGAAAGATCGAGTGTCTGCCCGATCAGAGCTGCGGGGACATTGACGCGACCAGGGGCTGGATTCTGGACGGACTCGAGTTCGACCACGAGCTCTGCAGGAGGCTCCTGGAGAACGACGTGCAAATCGACACGGCGATCGTGCTGTACGAGAGCGAGCCGTACTCGAAGCTGGTGCACCGCTGGCTTGAGAGTCGGGAGAAGGAGTCGCTCGAAGGATGGGCTGGTTGCGAGAATCCGTCGGAGAACTCTGACGATGCGGATTGCCATTTGGCCGGGTATGTGGAGGAGCTGAGGTACTTTGAAAGGAACAGGAAACGAGTCGTGGCCAAGCTGGCCGAGATCGGTATGGACGTTGTCTCGTGCGACCTGGGACTCATCGACGACGTGTCAGGGCATGTGCTTCCGCAGCTCTACAGAGACTTTCAGCTCGACGTTGAACTACCGAGGGAAGACGAAGGGAGCGAAGAGTCCTCAATGACTTCCGCCTCCGAGGATCGGGCGATGGGTGATTGTGGCACCTACTGCCCCGTAGCTCTCATGCGGTACGGCGCTCTCTGGCAGGGAAAGGCCGAGTACTGCTGCCTCCTCGATGGCAGGGCGTACTACATGTCGAGCGAGCCGGCACTTGAGGAATTCTTAAGTGACGATCGCAAGCTGGGCCTGCCTTGGGAAGAGCCACTCAGCGACGTACCGCCTGTCCGTGTGTTCATGATCGGGCCACCGGGAAGTGGAAAATCGACCCTGGCGAGGGCCGTGTCGCGGGCGTGTGGCTTGGTTCACGTCGATTTTTGGAAATGCCTCGAGGAGTGGGCTTTGGTCCGCGGAGAAAAAATCGAGTCGCGAGGGAGTTACGATGACGAAGAGGACGAGCTTGATCTACCCGACGACGACGACGACGGTTTCTACCTGCGGTACGCCAAAGAGGGCGCCACGCTTCCACCCCCGTTGGCAATGCACTGCCTGCTGAGGTATTTTCGCGCTCCGCTTGGCAACTATGGCCTGGTGGTCGACTCGTTTCCCAACTGCTGCCAAGACCTCGAGCTTATGTTGAAAGAGTACGCGATCCCGGACGTGGTCGTCGAGCTGAGGTGCGAGCGTGGTGTCGCAAAAGACCGGAAGCTCAAGGATTCCATGGCCAAGTGGCGGCTCAAGCAGATAAACGAAATGAAGAGGGAAGAGGCTCGATTCTCCAAGGAGACGATGGACTACGCGGACGAGATGTACAACTGGATGAGGGGTGAAGGCGACGAATCGGGAAATTCGAGCGACGAAGAAAAGCTCCGGGAGGCCTACATTGACTCGCACCCGCGGCCCCAACTCTTCTACGACTGGGAAAACGAGGAAGAGGCGCTAGCTAGGCTCTCGTTGAACGTCGAGCGCGGCTACGACAGAAGCACGGAACACCTGGACCGCCTACGCGGGCTCCTCGAAGCCGAAAACATAGCCCGCGTCGAGGTGGACGCGAACGGTGACGAGAGCCGAGTCCTCGTGCAATGTCTGCAGAGCCTGAGGACGCACTTGAACCGGAGCCCGTCCTTCTTCGAGAAGCCACGCCGAGTTGACAACCTCGAGGCCGAGGCCCTGCTGGAGAGTGGCAGCCACTTCCTCGGCTCCCACGGCCGGTTCTGCCCCGTCCAGCTGTCACGGAGCCAAAACCCCTTCCAGATGGTCGTGCCCCTGACCAGCCGTGGTGACATCTTCACGGTGCTGCACCGCAGATACGTTTACTTCCTCGCCGGCAAGAACGCCTTCGACCACTTTACCCAACAGCCCCTCCGGTACCTCGACCGAGCTCCATCCCTGCCACCATTGCTCCCGGCCTTGGTCTGCGTGATCGGGCCCCCCCGGTCCGGCAAAAGCACCCTCTGCTCGCGCTTCGCGACCACCTACTCCCTCGAGGCCGTCTCCCGGGACGAGCTCCTCGACTACGTGCTCGGTAACTTTGCCGGCACCGATCTGTCAGCGGCCATCAGGGAACGGCTGGATATCGCCGAGGCACCAACCGCGGAGCAGCTCACCGAGGCGGTGGGCCTCTTCCTGTCCAACCCTGGTTGCGTGACGCAAGGCTGCGTCCTCGACGGGTTCCCCGCGTGCGTCGAGGAGGCCGAAGCTCTGGAGAAAATCGGCGCCCGGCCTGTCGTCGCGATCGACCTTGACCTCGGGAACTGGGACGGGGAGGCGCTGGTGTACAGAAGCTGGCTGGCCGAGCGCTTCGGTACCCTGGTGAGGATCGATGGAACGCGGAGCAAAGCGTGGACCTGGCGGCGGGCGGACGAGGCCGTCAGGGACAGGTTTGGTCGCTACCTGGACTACCAGCGTGGCGGCGAGGACCGGGTGCGAGACGTCGAGTGCGTGCCCTTCACCCCGGAGGAGTTGCGGGCGCGAACCGGCCGATTCGGGCTGTACTGCCCGAGCTGCGTTTGCTTCGACGAGGCGTTCGTCGCGTTGGACTTGTCGGAAAGCCGGTGTGGTCTAGTCGAGTACCGCGGGGTCGTACTGTGGCTCTGCGGGCTGCACCTCGAGACTTTCAAGGAAAACTGCGGCAGGTACCACGACGCGTACGAGAGGGCGCGTCTGCCGGAGGAGTACCCGCGAGTCATCGGCGACACCCTCGATTTGGAGAGCCAGTGCTGTGCGGATCGTGTGACGAGCGGTGGGTGCTGCCTCGTCACGTACATCGACGGGCTGCCCGAGCGGAATCTGGTCCCGGGTAGGATCGACCTTGGAGTCGTCTACAGGGACGAGCTGTACCTCTTTTGCGCCGAGGCCTGTCGCGACAAGTTCCGCCGAAGGTTCACCAGCTACACGGGCTTCCGTATCAACCTGCCGCGCGTTCCGAGCATCCCGGCGCTCCGGGACATGCCGATCTTGGGTTTCCTGGAGCAGAGCGTCGCCGCGCAGGTGGCCAAGGCTGTGTCTTGGGTCGGAGACCTCAGACCGAAAGTGCCGGGGTTGTCGGCAGAGAATAGCGCTGCTGTTTTTGTGGGCGTACACCTGATGGCCCACCAGAGATCCGCGGACTCGCCGATTTACGCGAGGGCCCTGGAACGCATGGAGGCGCGAGTTGGATTTTTGGGACTAGCTGCCGAGGACGTGAAAAAGTGCGCCGGACGATGGCTGGAGGTGGCAAGTGCGGAAACAGTAAAGGCCGTTGAAGCGTCCATGAGGAAGATGGAAGAGGAGATGACGGGACGCGTCAAGTTCAGGAGGCTGTCGGCGACGCAGATTCTGAGGAATACCGATTCCGAGAGCGATTGAGGGTGGGCGTGTTCGAGAGTCGATGAGGATTTTGCACACGGTTGATTCGTTTGCAAGAAAATCTTGTTTGCACGATTGAGATCGTACCTTGAGCCGATTGTAAAAACGAAACCTTGGACATGGAGCAACGGAAGAAGTAGCGCCACTGCAGTGCCATAAATCGAGACTGTTTGCGAATCATCTCTAGAGTGAAACGATAAACGAATCGAGTGTAGATTATGTATGCACCCTTGGGTATTCTTGGCCTCTTTTTTTTTCGATATGCCACGCAGTTTTTGACGCTGTTGCACTTGTAGCAATAAAATTGATAACTATGCTTCCATAAGGTTGTACAAGCATCTTTGCCACTCGTCACTCTGTTGATTTAAGACTTTTCTCTGTCGCGATGACTCGCAAACGGTGTTAGTAGGTCACAATTTTTTTTTTTTTTTTCTTTTCAACTCGAAGGTTTGGCATCTCATTTTATGAGCATTTGAGGTACGATCTCACGATTGAATCAAGCAATGATTGGTGCCTTTTTTGTGACATTAAAATAACCCCCCACCCTGTAAAACAAAAATCAACTTGACTAACCGCAAAACTTTTTTGTTCTTCGTAGCACGTAGGGTACCAGTGCCGGACGCGCGCTTCGACTACCTCTGCGAGTACTTCAAGCCCGCCAGGTGAGTACTCATATACACACATACGATACTTCCGCATCACGTCCTTCCTTAAAGAGGGGAGGGGGGCAAAAAAAATAAAATAAAAAGAAACGCTCCTCTGCAAATTTACCCAGTGCCAAGTCACCGGGTCGGAATAAACGCGACATTTTCCCCAGATGGAGGGTACGCTCGCGGAATACCCTTTCATCCCTCCCTCGAGTCCTCATTTGCAATGCAGATCGGGTACCGCGCGCCCGTCTTTCCTTTGCCGAGCTGACTCTGCGCGACGCGCCCTTTATCCTCTCCGCAAATACGCTTCTTTTTCGTGCTCCAAGGAGGACACTCCGTTCGATCATGCGTATACACAAGCGCGCCGTCCATGCAAAACTTTATCGGGGGAAAATTCGAGCTCGTTACGATTATCCGCGGGTTCCCCGTGCCGTGAAAGGAGCTTGATTAACCAGTAGTTGGTCATCCCCGAAAGGACGGGCGGAAATTAACGGCGCCGTCTAATTTCGCCGCGCAAATAGCAGCAGCGCTGGAGATCGGTATATATGGGCGCCGGCTAAATTAACGCCCAGAGGTGAGGGGGGTACTTAATCAGAACTATACGCACGGTGTTGTAGTACCGACGGGCGGGTGATTGAAAATGCAAAGTAGCCCCGTCGAAATGACGATCGCCGGGGGAGAAGCCCTTTGATCGGTACGCGGGTGAGTATGAGCGTATATGTATATACGTGCGTAGACGCGCCTATTTGAATTGGAAGGGGCATTTTTTGAAGAGACTGCGTCAAAGGCTAATTGTCCAACGAGGGAGTAGTGTTTTCTTTTGTGCGGAGGCTGATTTTTCGAGTGTGATTATTTTTTTTTTCCTTCTTTTCAGTAAAGTGCCGGCGTTTTTGAACGTCGTCGATATCGCCGGTCTCGTGAAGGGCGCCTCCGAGGGCCAGGGCCTCGGCAATGCCTTTCTGTCACACATCAAAGCCTGCGACGCCATCTTCCACCTATGCCGTAAGTACCTTTTTTTTCATCTTTTCTTTGCTGTTTTCTTCAAGATCCATATGATATAAATAAGTATACGTATAGTTGCTTTTTACTGCGCAGTTGGTAAGTGTATGGCGAGTTCATTGAATCCACTTGCATTTGCAGGAGAAAAGTTTATTTCAACTTTGTCAGACTGTAGCTGTCGCGTCAATGTATTATTAAACTTGTTTGCTCGAGGCAGGGGGAGGGGGGAACAACAAGCAACAACTGGATGAATGTATATTTGTTCAACTTCACGGGTGTATAAGTAATGATCGCCCTGAGGTCCGGAAATAACAAAGTTTTCTGACGAAAATAAACTCCATGGCTCGAGGCTAATCGATGCCGTTGCTTTTTTCATGTACATCCATAATACTCAGTTAGATACACGTAGGTGGTGTTTTCTCGGATCCATCGACATTCATACCATTTCTATGTTTAACCATAAACCGCGAAAACTTGCGTGCCTCACCGCAATTGGCCATTGGGGTGTATATGTACGATTACAAGTGCCTATAACAATTGAAAGTGTATCTATACATCTTCGCAGTGGTTTAATATAGAACGGAATTGACGATAGCGCGCGCATCAATGATTCATCGCGGTTAGCGGTCTTTGTTCTTTTTTTTTTTTTTTTTTTGACGTCTCTCCAAATGATTCATATTGTAGACACAGGGTGATTATTGTAACTGCGATGACTTCATGGTTTTTGGTGCGAATACTTTTTTTTTTTTTTTTTTCTTTTCGGTGCCATTATTTTATATCGAAACGAGAAACGATAAAAATCATAGTTCGTTCGACAAATCTTTCGATGTTAAAACGTTTCTCGAAAAAACGTACCTCGTTCTTCCCCTATCGGCCCCTTTGGGAGCAAACGAATAATCGACTTCTCGTTAAATTTTCATAACAAGCGCGATTCTTTTCTGAAACGGGTATCCTTTATACGAGCTCCGCGGCTCGTTTCGCCGAAAGCGTGTATACATTATCGCCTCGCGTGTCACTTATTGGTGGCAATTTGGGCCGATTCTACAAATATATGTACAAGCACGCATTACATCGTATGACACGTATACACTGTATATCTGTTCCCTCCGGACCATTATGTCATTCGAAATTGCTGGTTTACCTCTCTCGGGTATGTACACATACACGCTTGGCCATTTATTCCGAAAAGCGCGCAAACGAAAACGTGTAGGTACATTTTTGAATGGGCCGAAATTGCTGTTGGCCGAATCCTCAAATTGGGCTTTTTAAAAAAAGTAATGAAAAAAATGCAACCTCCTTTCCGTCACTCGTGTTACATGCTAAGTATGCTTTTAAACGCAAGTTAGGTAAGAATTTTACCCTTTTTTTTCACCCAACCTCTTTTTTTGAAATGTTTTTTACCAATTTGCGAAACTCGCGATGGTACGGATTTTGGGGATTTTTCCATGCCCGCTTCAACCATCGATCGGTACGTTTTTGCGCTCTTTCTCTGCAAATGGGACACGCAGTCCTAATATCAATTGTGTTATTTTTCTTTTTTTCTTTCTTTTGTTATTTTTTGAGATGCGCATTCGATTATTTTAAACAAAGCAAATACACGAATTTTTTTCATATACGAAATAAGTAACCAATATTCAAAGTATATACTTCGTGATACACGTGGGTCACGAAATATCAGAGTTATTCGCAACGAGTATCAGTCTGAAGAATTATAATCGTTCGCCTCGTGACGCACGTGTAGAAAAAAAAAAAAAAAAAAAAAAAAAAAAAAAAAAAAACCCGTTCTAACGCGTAAATACACGTATACGCCCACGTAAGACGGTATTTTTAAAACGCAAAAAAGCGTCCACGTCGGAGATCACTGCAGGTGCGATTTGCGGTCAAAGTCATTAACGAACAACGCATGCATACAACGCGATATATTTAGTATAGTTGAATCGATTGAGTTTCTCGATTAACCCAACAGTATTGAAAAAAACAAAAAACAAAAAATAAAAAAAAAAAAGGCTACAAAATACTCACTTTGTACTGGATGTAGCTGCGTCCTATTGTTATGCAGCGACAACCGTTCGATTGCACGCAGAGGTACCTTATACAGTGCACAGCTAGTGGGTATACATATAAGTAATAATACACAAGACGATATCTCGCGCGCGTCGGAGCACGACTAAATCGAAACGGCGCACATCCGCGACTGTCTGCATCCGCAAAAAATACATACGCGCACACAACACCTATTAGTTTGTATACATATATACGTATGTACATATACATATGTTCTTCTGGTCATAAAATGCGCTATATACGTATATATATATATTTATTAGCTCCTCGAAGATTACGAGGCGCGCACGTAGATAGGTACAATGATCGAATGGTGTTTAATTATGCGTGTGCATATGCTCGCTTGCTACGTCAACAACGATATTATATGATGCGTGTACTTCCCCACCGTTGATTGTTTATACATGTATACATACAATATATACCTGGTAATTGATAAACGAGAAACAACAAAAATTACACCTTGCGCATACTTACAGGTGCACGTGCTCGAAGCGAACTTTTAAATTTTACGATACTCCTCGCGAAAGTCTCGAGGAGAATCGATGATTTCAATAATTTTTGGCTGATGTATATTATGTGCGCGTGTCGTTGATCTTTGTATTGCAGGGGCATTCGAGGACGACGACGTGACGCACATTGAGGGTGACGTGAATCCGGTGAGGGATCTCGAGATCATAAGCGAGGAGTTGCGGCTGAAGGACATCGAGTTCCTGAACGTCCACCTGGAAAAACTGGAGAAACTCGTGGTCCGAGGAAACGACAAAAAACTCAAGCCCGAATACGTAAGCTATGTTTATACAAGTCCCCCCCCCCTTTACGAGTGCAATTGAAAGTTTCATCCCTAAATGCGATTGGTACGGCATTGTGTATGCATAAAAACGCCCCCTTTCCACGAGCCGAGTGCTAAATACCGGTCAAGTAGGTACGCGCAATTGAACCTTACGGAGGAGAGACTCAAACGGGCGATAACGAAACAATAAAAACCAGCCCTCCGGGTTATACCATACCGGCAACGACAGGAAAAAGCAAAAATCGTGCCACACTTTACCCCTACACACATATGATGTGCATGGGCCCCGTGACCAACGCATAACTGCATTGTATGGCAGCCGAAGGCGATTAACGGGGGAGTCGATCTCGCATCGCAAGTAATTGCAAAGCAGGACCGCGCTCCGTACATATATACCTCGCGATTGCATTCAATTTACCTGTGCGCATGTTGTACAGGGAGGGAAGCCCTTTACTCTCGTTACGTTTGGATCTCGGCGACACGCCCGCGATGCGAGATCTCTCGAATGTGTCCGCGGCCTCCCCACCTCGTGCCGGTTTATCGGACGCGTAATAACAACATACCGTTCGTTGCCTCGGGTCCGCATGGGCCGATAAACAACTCGTCGTTGCTGCTCGAGCTCCACTTGCTTCTTATGGGCGCTTCCTCTTTCTGTTTATTGGTACGCTGTTTTTTTTTTTTTTTTTTTTTTTTTTTTTTTTAGTACAAGTATCATTGTTTGTGCGAGTTGTCGATTTGTCACAATCTCAAGGATCCTATGGTGCACCAAGAGACAATGCAATGCCAGCGAAATCTCTTCATTTAGGTTTATCGCTCGAAATTGAGGGTTGCAAACCACGCTGTGAGCTCTCGCTTTTTTTTTACGTATTTCTTCCCTTTTAAAAAAAAAATTCGCGCAATCAGAGCGAAAGGTCCCGAGGTCCCGAGCAAATTGCACATTTGTTTCCCCGAAATCAAAGTGACCAATAGCGTCGAATTATCCGATATCTCTTCCCCCGCCCCCGTTTATTTTTCGCAAAGAAACGGTCCAAGTGTGTACACGTGTGTAGAAAACATTTGGCCAACATGTGGGAATGAGCCCCGATCGGAATGCCTTCCGCGAAAAACGCGCCGATCGCTCTTCTACATGTATACCGTTTCGCCCGCACGTCTCTCGCCCTTACTTAATTTTGCATCGCTTCTCCCTTATACTTTCGTCCCGCGGAGCCGGTGTTAATACCGCGTTCCACGACTATCTCTCTCTCTCTCTCTCTCTCTCTCTCTCCCTCTTTGCGAATCGGACGATTTTTCGAGAAATCGGCATGGAAAAATTACCGATCCTGTGATTATCCGAGCTCGGACTTTTTTTTTCACCTGTTTTATTTTTGTTATTCAATGTCCAATTGCTGGAACGATAAAATCAACTGCACACTTTGTTCGATCGGCAGCTGCCGATTTCGCATACTCATACCCTCCCTCGATTTTTTTTTTTTTTTTTTCGTGGAACTTATCACTCTTTGTTGCGACCCGATCGCGCTTCACTTTCACCTCCTTTTCAAATACACGCGAGACTTTTTCCAAACGTCCGTCCTGCGAATAATTGGCCGCGATGTTGCGTTTTACGATACCCGTGGTTTCTCCGAAAAATTGGTAAAAAAAAACTGGGGGGAGGGTTGTAAAACGTGTAATTGTACATTTGTGCTTTTTTTCACAGGACATCCTTCTAAAAGTCAAACAGGTCTTGGTGGATGATAAAAATCACATCAGGTTCCAGGACTGGAGCGTCAATGACGTGAGTATACGTAGCTTTGTTTGTTTGATTGTGATTGGACCAATAATAATGTCGAGTCACTAAAAAACCAAAAACCGCTTTGTTTCCAGATCGAGGTGCTCAACAAGTATCTCTTCCTCACGTCCAAGCCGGTCATCTACCTCGTGAACCTCTCCGAGAAGGACTACATCCGCAAGAAGAACAAATGGTAAAGTTTACTATGTAATTGCACGCGAGTTTAAAAGCAATCGAGAACTGCGATAACGATCATTGACAATGGCATACGGCGCTTTCGAGGGTAAAAAATAATCGTGGTCACGCGCGAGTTGTTTAACTATTCAACGAGTGTTAATATCGATATACTGTGGAGAGCCTGGCCTTGGCACAACAACAGCCGAGCGAGTCGACCGATCTCGCGTGCGATTGTCGAGCAAAAAACGGGTGCTCGTTTGATTTTAATACAACCGAGGACGTCTTGACATCTCTTTGTCCCGAACTATCTTTCAAAAATTCGTCGAACTGGTTTAGTTTTTTGTTCAACCCCAACAAAATGAACAAACACTCGACTTTCAGGCTCATCAAGATCAAAGAGTGGGTGGACAAGAACGACCCGGGGGCCATTCTGATCCCGTTCAGCGGCGCTTTCGAGAACAAAGTGATCGACATGGACGAAGCCGAGCGGACCAAGTACTACGAGGAGTCCAAAGTCACGAGGTGAGTGTTAACACCAACTGTGTGTACCATACCGGCAACATTGTATTATACTCTCGCCCGGAATTTCACCGATATGAGTTCTAGCCATTGCGAGCTCCAATGTTTTGTGTATAATGTACATGCAGCGGCGAAGGGTTCCCACGCGGCCCGAGCTAAAAGTGCATACTTGGTCCCCAAAACCCGTGAAGGTAATAATGGACGGTTGGCCCGCGTCTAGACGGTCAACAGCGACTACGTGTGCGTATAGGCGTATACTGCACCCATACGTGGTCGAATGGACAAAATAAGCGGGCCAAGAGGATCGGAGGGGAATGGGTGATGTTGCACTGGATGCTTGGCTCATTCAAATTCTTGCGAGATTACGACGGAACGCGCTGTATAATCTGCGGATTAGAAGTCTTTTTTTGCCCCTCGCGTATACATACGCTTTAACGTGAACACGATATCTTGGAACGGGGGTGAGGGAGTGCGGTGCATGGGTATGGGTGGCCCGTAAATTTCAGAGCTGGAGAAACGTTGGATTTTTCATGCACCTTCCTCTCTCTCTCTCTCTCTGCGTTTTGTTGGTTTATTGTTGCCCCCGGGGTGGTTGCGTCGAGATAACATTTTCGGCACACCAGGTCTCCGTTTGACTCTTTTGAAAACTCCCTTTGAAATTCACTGCGTGTCTGTCCTGTAGAAATCGCCTCCTCGAGTTTGGTCGAACGAGAAAAAGGAGACGACAAGAGGGAGGGAAAAATTCGAGAAAACGATCCTCGCGGAAGAGCAAGATCGCGGGGTCGAGGATGATATCGGCGCGAATTCGAGAAAAAGAGCCAATGTGTGTGCATGGGAGAGACAAGGGGGAGGCAGCAGCGCGCGACTGCGGGGGTAATGAGACGAGAGAGAGAGAGAGAGAGAAAAAGAGGGAAGGGCCGTGATTTTATTTCGGACGACCGCAGATTGCGTAGTGACTATCGAAACGGGGAAGAACTCGATGAAATTGCGGCATTAAGTCGTTTGGTTTATGTGCGTTCTCTGAAGTCCCGGCTACGTATATGTATATATACATGGCTTCCGCGCTTGTGGGCCTATACAATATATATATGTCTGCGCGCGCGGTCCGAAACGAAACCTGCAGCGATGCAAACCCTGTCATTACGAGTGCTCCGTTCGAGTATATTTAAGGTATTCTTTAACGGCGACTCGTGTGACCGTATATGTTTATGCGGTTATAGTCCCAATGCTCGAGTTTTCGGTTTACATGTTTGGAAATGTAGTTTGATATAACATACCGATAATTAGGTTTCTCGTTCCGTTGAGTTATGCTTCAATTGTGATTTTAACTTAAAAAATCGAGTAAAAATATCGTTATCGTCCATACTTATGTTGTTTCCAACTGAACAGCCACTGTCTCGAGTATACAAGACAAAGACAACGAGTACACGTACAGATGTACCGCACAATTCAAAGTGCAGAGCAAGTTTCGAGAACGTCGATTTTTTTTCCACCCCCCCGCAAAACCACTCTTACGAAACGAAAATCCGCTCTCGTCTCAATTCAGCCGAGTCGGCACAAATGGTCCCGCTACATGTATACATTCCCTCGCTGAGGGTAGGTATCTTTTAAAAACTGTCCCGTGTCTTTTCTCGTTCGAGTCGTAAAAAGCGATTGGAATTCTCGGTTGGGACGCGCGTCGATTCGAAAATCGAAGAGCTAACCGATCATTATCGTTTCGAGGGGAGCACCGTTGACGACCCCGCAAAGAGTGTATTTCCAGTTGTACGCACGTTTTGCTCGACGAGACGGAGGGTATAGACAGAGATTGTTGCCAACGTGGCTTTTATTTCAATTGTTCTTGCAGCGCTCTCGATAAAATCATCGTTCAAGGGTACAAGGCTCTACAGCTGCAGTACTTTTTCACCGCCGGACACGATGAGGTCAAGGCGTGGACGATCCAGGTGAGGAACCTTTTTTGTTTTGTCTCACACTTTGTTCGATCGGCAGCTGCCGGTTTCGCATACTCATACCCTCCCTCGGTGTTTTTTTTTTTTTTTTTTTTTTTTTTGTTTTTTTTTAGTACAAGTATCATTGTTTGTGCGAGTTGTCGATTTGTCACAATCTCAAGGATCCTATGGTGCACCAAGAGACAATGCAATGCCAGCGAAATCTCTTCATTTAGGTTTATCGCTCGAAATTGAGGGTTGCAAACCACGCTGTGAGCTCTCGCTTTTTTTTTACGTATTTCTTCCCTTTTAAAAAAAAAATTCGCGCAATCAGAGCGAAAGGTCCCGAGGTCCCGAGCAAATTGCACATTTGTTTCCCCGAAATCAAAGTGACCAATAGCGTCGAATTATCCGATATCTCTTCCCCCGCCCCCGTTTATTTTTCGCAAAGAAACGGTCCAAGTGTGTACACGTGTGTAGAAAACATTTGGCCAACATGTGGGAATGAGCCCCGATCGGAATGCCTTCCGCGAAAAACGCGCCGATCGCTCTTCTACATGTATACCGTTTCGCCCGCACGTCTCTCGCCCTTACTTAATTTTGCATCGCTTCTCCCTTATACTTTCGTCCCGCGGAGCCGGTGTTAATACCGCGTTCCACGACTATCTCTCTCTCTCTCTCTCTCTCTCTCTCTCCCTCTTTGCGAATCGGACGATTTTTCGAGAAATCGGCATGGAAAAATTACCGATCCTGTGATTATCCGAGCTCGGACTTTTTTTTTCACCTGTTTTATTTTTGTTATTCAATGTCCAATTGCTGGAACGATAAAATCAACTGCACACTTTGTTCGATCGGCAGCTGCCGATTTCGCATACTCATACCCTCCCTCGATTTTTTTTTTTTTTTTTTTCGTGGAACTTATCACTCTTTGTTGCGACCCGATCGCGCTTCACTTTCACCTCCTTTTCAAATACACGCGAGACTTTTTCCAAACGTCCGTCCTGCGAATAATTGGCCGCGATGTTGCGTTTTACGATACCCGTGGTTTCTCCGAAAAATTGGTAAAAAAAAACTGGGGGGAGGGTTGTAAAACGTGTAATTGTACATTTGTGCTTTTTTTCACAGGACATCCTTCTAAAAGTCAAACAGGTCTTGGTGGATGATAAAAATCACATCAGGTTCCAGGACTGGAGCGTCAATGACGTGAGTATACGTAGCTTTGTTTGTTTGATTGTGATTGGACCAATAATAATGTCGAGTCACTAAAAAACCAAAAACCGCTTTGTTTCCAGATCGAGGTGCTCAACAAGTATCTCTTCCTCACGTCCAAGCCGGTCATCTACCTCGTGAACCTCTCCGAGAAGGACTACATCCGCAAGAAGAACAAATGGTAAAGTTTACTATGTAATTGCACGCGAGTTTAAAAGCAATCGAGAACTGCGATAACGATCATTGACAATGGCATACGGCGCTTTCGAGGGTAAAAAATAATCGTGGTCACGCGCGAGTTGTTTAACTATTCAACGAGTGTTAATATCGATATACTGTGGAGAGCCTGGCCTTGGCACAACAACAGCCGAGCGAGTCGACCGATCTCGCGTGCGATTGTCGAGCAAAAAACGGGTGCTCGTTTGATTTTAATACAACCGAGGACGTCTTGACATCTCTTTGTCCCGAACTATCTTTCAAAAATTCGTCGAACTGGTTTAGTTTTTTGTTCAACCCCAACAAAATGAACAAACACTCGACTTTCAGGCTCATCAAGATCAAAGAGTGGGTGGACAAGAACGACCCGGGGGCCATTCTGATCCCGTTCAGCGGCGCTTTCGAGAACAAAGTGATCGACATGGACGAAGCCGAGCGGACCAAGTACTACGAGGAGTCCAAAGTCACGAGGTGAGTGTTAACACCAACTGTGTGTACCATACCGGCAACATTGTATTATACTCTCGCCCGGAATTTCACCGATATGAGTTCTAGCCATTGCGAGCTCCAATGTTTTGTGTATAATGTACATGCAGCGGCGAAGGGTTCCCACGCGGCCCGAGCTAAAAGTGCATACTTGGTCCCCAAAACCCGTGAAGGTAATAATGGACGGTTGGCCCGCGTCTAGACGGTCAACAGCGACTACGTGTGCGTATAGGCGTATACTGCACCCATACGTGGTCGAATGGACAAAATAAGCGGGCCAAGAGGATCGGAGGGGAATGGGTGATGTTGCACTGGATGCTTGGCTCATTCAAATTCTTGCGAGATTACGACGGAACGCGCTGTATAATCTGCGGATTAGAAGTCTTTTTTTGCCCCTCGCGTATACATACGCTTTAACGTGAACACGATATCTTGGAACGGGGGTGAGGGAGTGCGGTGCATGGGTATGGGTGGCCCGTAAATTTCAGAGCTGGAGAAACGTTGGATTTTTCATGCACCTTCCTCTCTCTCTCTCTCTCTGCGTTTTGTTGGTTTATTGTTGCCCCCGGGGTGGTTGCGTCGAGATAACATTTTCGGCACACCAGGTCTCCGTTTGACTCTTTTGAAAACTCCCTTTGAAATTCACTGCGTGTCTGTCCTGTAGAAATCGCCTCCTCGAGTTTGGTCGAACGAGAAAAAGGAGACGACAAGAGGGAGGGAAAAATTCGAGAAAACGATCCTCGCGGAAGAGCAAGATCGCGGGGTCGAGGATGATATCGGCGCGAATTCGAGAAAAAGAGCCAATGTGTGTGCATGGGAGAGACAAGGGGGAGGCAGCAGCGCGCGACTGCGGGGGTAATGAGACGAGAGAGAGAGAGAGAGAGAAAAAGAGGGAAGGGCCGTGATTTTATTTCGGACGACCGCAGATTGCGTAGTGACTATCGAAACGGGGAAGAACTCGATGAAATTGCGGCATTAAGTCGTTTGGTTTATGTGCGTTCTCTGAAGTCCCGGCTACGTATATGTATATATACATGGCTTCCGCGCTTGTGGGCCTATACAATATATATATGTCTGCGCGCGCGGTCCGAAACGAAACCTGCAGCGATGCAAACCCTGTCATTACGAGTGCTCCGTTCGAGTATATTTAAGGTATTCTTTAACGGCGACTCGTGTGACCGTATATGTTTATGCGGTTATAGTCCCAATGCTCGAGTTTTCGGTTTACATGTTTGGAAATGTAGTTTGATATAACATACCGATAATTAGGTTTCTCGTTCCGTTGAGTTATGCTTCAATTGTGATTTTAACTTAAAAAATCGAGTAAAAATATCGTTATCGTCCATACTTATGTTGTTTCCAACTGAACAGCCACTGTCTCGAGTATACAAGACAAAGACAACGAGTACACGTACAGATGTACCGCACAATTCAAAGTGCAGAGCAAGTTTCGAGAACGTCGATTTTTTTTTCCACCCCCCCGCAAAACCACTCTTACGAAACGAAAATCCGCTCTCGTCTCAATTCAGCCGAGTCGGCACAAATGGTCCCGCTACATGTATACATTCCCTCGCTGAGGGTAGGTATCTTTTAAAAACTGTCCCGTGTCTTTTCTCGTTCGAGTCGTAAAAAGCGATTGGAATTCTCGGTTGGGACGCGCGTCGATTCGAAAATCGAAGAGCTAACCGATCATTATCGTTTCGAGGGGAGCACCGTTGACGACCCCGCAAAGAGTGTATTTCCAGTTGTACGCACGTTTTGCTCGACGAGACGGAGGGTATAGACAGAGATTGTTGCCAACGTGGCTTTTATTTCAATTGTTCTTGCAGCGCTCTCGATAAAATCATCGTTCAAGGGTACAAGGCTCTACAGCTGCAGTACTTTTTCACCGCCGGACACGATGAGGTCAAGGCGTGGACGATCCAGGTGAGGAACCTTTTTTGTTTTGTCTTTGCGTTTTCATCAGTTCAAAGTAACCATCAAACCTTCGAACGCCTAGATCACATTTTTTGCAGGCTTTAAAAAATTCCCCGTTGTTTTTTTTTTTTTTGTCGTTAAATTTAAAATCTAGTTTTGTCATTTAACCAAATATATTTTTACCGATCCGCGTAAAGCTCCGCGTGAGCTCGAAATAACCAGGAAATCCGCCGTTCTTTTTTAGAAAGGAACAAAAGCACCGCAGGCAGCCGGCAGAATTCACACGGACTTCGAGAAAGGCTTCATCATGGCCGAAGTCATGAAATACGACGACTTCAAAAACGAAGGGTCCGAATCGGCGGTAAAAGTAAGTGTTATCGCATGCACGTACAGCCCAAGTCAGGCGTTAACGGGCGGAATCGCAAATTTTTCAGGCGGCCGGCAAGTACAGGCAACAGGGCCGGAATTACGTCGTGGAAGACGGTGACATTATATTTTTCAAATTCAACGCGGGAGCTGGACTGAAGGACGCCAAGAAAAAGTGATACTTGGCGGCCGGTGCAAGCAGCGGGCTTTCAGCGCAGCCATCCTTGTGCGACTCTTTGAGTGGTTTGTCGGACGTCGTCGCGAGTATCCGAGGAAATGCGATGCAATCGGCACCGATACCCAACTGTTTCTTCACAAAAAACGTCTTTTTTCTGTCTAATCAGCTTCCACAATTTTTACGAAATTTTCTTTTTTGTACACGAGAGTGTGTTATGGTATGGTTTCGCGTTGTGGTTAATCGATGAAACGGTGTTCGTTGCATTTTTGTTTTATTTTTCGCTGACGAGTGACTTTATAAACATATACATTGTTCAACGAGCGAACGAAAAGCTACAGTTACATTGAAATTTGTACAACGCAGACTGCATTTCTTGATTACACGAGTGTATTTACTTTTACAATTTGTTAAATACAAGTCGACGCAACAAGTTATAATACTTTTGTTTTATTTAGTTGCCATACCATACAACTAATACGCATGTGTATAAAATTTACAAAAAATTTCGTACATCTCGCAAATGGTATGTACACAATTACACATTCATCAATTCATGCAAAGATTCGCAAAACTATATAAAATGTGGTAGAAAACTGTAGCGGTCGGTTACATGGAGCCCTATTCCACTGCATGCTTAACTGTCGATAAAGTGGAAAATATTCGAACGCTTCTCCGCGCGCCATCACATTTAAAATTGTCTTTTCTAATCAAATTTTTGCTCATGTAAAACTTACTTTAGTACACAATAAGTTTTGTCTCACTGGAACAACGATATTCATTTGATATCAAACATTCAGCCATTTTCAGCTGTAGTGTTCAATAAACGCCACTTTGTCCATTCATAAAACTCAATTTCAGTTTTAAAGAGTTCTTCTAAACGCTTCTTCGCTTTAGGTTTCATAGTCGCTCTACCGTTATTGTATTGTTTCTTTGGTCCTGAAAATAAAAAACACAATATTATTACTTTCAAGATTTCACATAAAAAACATTTTCAATCGAATCTAAATTGAAAATTGAAAAAAAAAATATTAATCCGTAATAATGGACTTTGTCCTAATTATTGCACAGATATAATATAAGTACAAATAAAAAACGTATTTCTAAAATATTTTCCCCATTCTTGACAAAAAAAAAAAAAAATCAAAGAACAAACCAAACATCTCGACCGGTTCTACCGACTTTTGTGTTACTCATTGCTTGTAGTATCAACGAGGTCATGTAACATAACGTCCCTTTTCCCCCAGAGAAAAAAAAAAAAAAAAAACCCAACCAACAAAAACAAAGGGAAAAAGGTCACTCACGTAGCTTATCGTAAATTATGGATGCACCCTCAAAGAAGTACGGATAGGCCTTCTCGAGTCTCCCGACGGTCTCCTCCATCCGGTCCAAGACTCCCACGATCGGGTACCACCTGATTACGTTGGCCTTGGCCTGCTCGAGCGCCCACACGTTATTCCGCTCCCTGAAAGAGACATTGAAAAACAAAAATGGAAAAAAAAAAAAAAAAAAAAAATTGCAACTTTGATACCCGCGGCGAAACGCACAACGACCCGATCGTGCCTGCAGCGCGTGTGCGTTTCTGTTGCGCAAGTATTTTTTATTGGTCCACATGTTTACGCGTGAGAGCTCCATTAAGCTTGCGGCGGGTATACCGAGAATTTACGTTCTCCCGAGTACATATTGTATATTTATACGCATGGAGCGGGGTGATCGGTGATCTTAATTCCTTGCCGTGTGCTGTATTGTGTGAAACCGGCGATCCGTGATGCAACGATCGGTAAATTGTTTGCTTGGACGTTGCGTGCACCGGAGACGCGTAGGAATTTTCTTTTTGCTTCTTTATCAAGGGAACAAAAAAGTGAAGATTTATTATTACACTGTTTCTCGGCTCATTTTTTTTCTGTCATTGTTTATTTTAGTCGTGGTTATGCAATGTAAAAAAAAAAAGAAAAAAAAATTTTATCTTTCGGATTAGCCGTTCGTTGTGTGGTATAAGGATCGAGTTGCTCCTTTGATAGAAAAAAAGTAATTTGCATGATTAGAAAAACTTAATCGTCGTTTTATTCGATACGCGTCACCACAATAAAGCAATCCTCTCAATTTCGTGCGTTTGCCACGGAGATGATAAATCTCGGGGAAAAACTTAAATCAAATAGAACGACAGATACTCTTTGCTCTCTCTAAAACAACCTTTTCATCCGGACAAAGGACAATCTTTCGATTCGTGTTTAAAATATTTGATCCTCCGCGGGGGCGCAACGTAGCCATGTGTATACATACCTTTCGAAAATAATAATAAAATCTCGGTCTCAAAGTTACGGATCGGTAAAGTGTATTCCATAAGCTCATTCTCTTCCTCTTTCTCGCGAGTGTAGGTACATGTATACCTATACAATTGAGCGTTCGTAAAAATTAATCTTTTCGAACAACCAAATCACCGGAATGCAGAAAAACGAGGCTTGGAATGCTACTATTTGTGACGTAACTCGGCGTTTCTCTTTTGCTTAACTTCTCTATTGATATAAAAAAAAAAAAAAAAAAAAAAAAAAAAAAAAAAAAAAATCTATTATTGAAATGATAATATACTCACGAGCACCTTTCGTCGTGTCCACAAAAATGGGCTATCGAGCCTCTGTAGATTGTACCGGAAGCTCCCGTCTTGAGCCTGAAAACAAAAAGGATAAAGCATTGGTGAATACCACGCTTATATTTGGAATAAAGGTATAAGTGACTGATGAAAAAAAGTAGATCCAATAGTCGGGACGATTGATTGCCCATAGGGTATGGATACAACAAAATAACACTGGGGATACCAAAGTGTACCATCAATCACCAGGTGATGAAAAATCAATAGCAAACGCTGTAGAAAAGCTATAGATGTGACGGACACCTATAGATATTGAACCGAGTCTAAAGTTTATCGCGAATTTCTATACATATATGTTGACGCGTATGGAGAGGAAGTCGTTTATCAGGCAACGATGGCTAGAGAGAGAGAGAGAAAACGATATCGTTGGATTGTACGTGTTATTTTGTCACTCGCATAGTTGCGAAAAACAAAGCGCCCGGCAAATGAAATTTATCGTCGCGTACATGACGTGTCGGGTGCTTGAACATTTTTCGCGTCAACTATGTTTTTTTTTTTTTTTGTCGCAGTCGGTGATTTCGACACGTATAGCTCTGATAATTTATTTATACAATTATTGCCCAATCGCTAATAATAAAACGGGTTTCTTACAAGTTCATGCAGAGTCCATAATAATATGTGTATAGATTGTGTGCCGTCGATTTTACCAGTGTAAGGTCTTCGGGTCCAGGGGATCTCTGATTAAGGATATGTAAGTGGGCGCAGGGCGCCCGAACTCGGTGAAATTTAAGAATCTGACGTCCCCGTCGAACGACAGTGGAATCGCCTCCTGTCTAATGATGCTCGTCACCTCCTCGACCAGCAGTTCCTGTAAATCGGCATTAAGTACGGTATGTACATATTTATGCTCGTTAATTGGCAAGTGGAATATTTTTAATTTCAGTAAAACTTTTCTAAATTCATAGTACAAAGGTGGGTATACGATTATTTTACAAACATTCAAACATTCTAAATTGAAANACCCCGACCGGGAATCGAACCCACGACCCCTTGAGCTGTGTTGTTTCGGAGGCTAGCATGCTAACCACTGAGCCAACGACGAGCTCATATAGATATACATACACACTTGGCATTCAAAATCCAAATATCCAAACATCCCCCCCGCACCCCGCACTCCTCACAGCATCCGGCTGGCTAGGATGGTGGGATGATTGAACTCTCTCTATCAGCAACCAAAGTTAGTATAGCACCAACTAGAAACTACATCGGAAGACTAACCGTTCATTTGTAAACACACAAGAGCTGCACTTGTATATGTATGTACACACATACAATATATACATACTGCAAATACAAACGTTGTGAGTTTGTGAGTGTTAACAACATTAACAACAACAAAGACACACGTGACAACGGCGGGAGTGGAAGGGAAGCAGACGAAGAGGTTCGATCGATAACAACAACAACAACAAACAGTACGAAACTACGAAGAGAGGAAGCATCATCGGTTCATCAGTGATCGAGACCGAACGGGGAGTACTGCCACGAGCGCCTAGCTCTGCCAGGGACGGCGTTACGTGACGCTGCGTCTGAAACCGATGGAATTTCCCGTTTTTTCGAGTTCGATTTTCACGGTATGGGTTTGTGGGAAATCGAGAGCCGATTTTTACGGGATATATACTGGTACACAGGAAACGAGCGGGGGTTTTGCAACTACGCGACAAGTAAAAAAAAAAAAAAAAAAAAAAAAAAAAAAAAAAAAAAAAAAAAAAAAAAAAAAGATCGAAACGTAGACCGATGCCACATAACAAAATGTAAAATGTAAGGCGTGGAGCCAATTAAGCAGGAAGTAGATCACAATGAACTGTCAACTCATTTTTAATACCCTCTATACGCATACCTTATTCTTGTTCCTACGACACGTGACCACGAACTTCGCAGTTGTTGGAAAAATGTATAGGCGCGTATAGCCTTAATTGCTCATGTGATCGATGAAAGTTCCGAGTACTTCTATACGGCGATAAAAATAAAAAGCTATAGCGTGTGAGTTACGTGACGGTGATGCAGGCATTATTATTTCTTAACAAGAAATGTTTGTAATTGGAACGATGATATATACGTCAAAATTAAAAAAAAAAAAAAAAAAAAAAAAATCCATCGGTAAGATTAAAATATCGTAATAAAACTATCCTTGAAAACCTCTCCTCTACTACGCGATCGTTGCTACAAAGATTTACTCTACAGTACTTACTTGTATTCAAATGAATAAATAAGACAAACCTATAAGACTTCTTTGAACAGTAAATGAGTTATGGAATAGCTCTTTATAATTTATGATATTATATACACCTATGCATATAAATATGCTGCTGCTTTATGATTACTTCAAGAATTTTACTAAAATTATTTATCGTTTAATTTTAATTTAAGCTAAACAAAAATAAGTATCACAATGAGGTAAAAAAAAAAAAAAAAAAAAAAAAAAAAAAAAAAAAAAAAAAAAAAAAAAANAACAGCACTGATTCCTTAAATTTAAGATAGGATTATTTCACGAAAAATTTTTTAATGTATACAGCAGATTTTTAAATTTTGCATTTCTTACAAAGGTCTGACTTACTTCCAGTTTCAACACTCACTGAATGTGGAACAGTATTTTAAAAAAACAACGGAATATAATTAATTTTTTCGTGAATTTTTTTTTTATTTAAGAGAGACTAAGATTAATTTCCAGGTATTACTCAGCATATACCTACTTTCACATGACCTTCGCTTACTAAAGTGGCTAGTTATATTATTAGATATCACCATTTATCAGTAAGTAAATCTTAGATCCATAAATAGTATATATACCAAAAAATATTGAAATGACAAGTTGGAATTGAGTCTTGCGACCAATGGTCAGTCCAATGAATTTTGAATGCGCTGACCTCTGCATAACCTAGTTTTTTTTTATCACCAGTACAAAAGCTGTTTGTCAATTTTCTCACCACAAGAGCAGTTTGCTTTCCTACACAAAATTACAACAAATTTTTGTACTTTGTGCCCCATGGTACGAATAAATGCATTACTTTAACGTGAACGAGTATAAATCAGCCAGTGCCATCTGGGTCAAAATGTTGTATCAAAATAACTTCAAATGGCACGAGCAAGTGAAAAACGTGTGTAACATTCACTTGATATTGAAAGAAATTTCCACGTCACAATAAATCTCATGATTATTATTTATCATAGGTTTAATAATTAATTCATGAGGAAAATCGCAGAAAGAGTTTGTACAAGTTATTCCTCAAACATTTCTTTTTTTAACTTTAATATAAAAAATATCACGAGCAATTCGTACATACTCACTCAGACTTCAAAAATGATAAAATCATATTTCTGCAAAAACTAATATAACGCCCTGATCATTCATTCGGGGGACTCTCGATAGTAGTAATACAGAAATAAATAGTGTATTCGGTGAAATACGAATTGTTTTATTAGTTAAATTAAAAATTTTTTTTTACACTGACGAAAATTTATACACTTATAATGATGTCAAATAACATCAAAATGAACAAGCAGCATCACCATATGTTAAGACAGTAAAAATTCACTTTTGATATTTTAACTAGTATGCTAATTCCTCATGATCTTGAAAGCTTAATTCAAATTTATTATCTTAAATGAATTTTAAATTGCATCACTAGTAAAGGCTTACTGAAGATTAGCAAAACCTTAGTTATTAGATGGATGGATTTTGTATTTTACAACAAAAGATGATATGACTATACTCATCATCTGAAAATATAAAACAGTTAAATTTTAATTACGATTCATTAATAAATTTCGGGCACACGGGTGTCAAACACGTTACATTTAAGTGAAATGGCTATCGTATTTTTTTCAAGCAACATGCAGCCGCTTATATGAATTTTAAGAAGACCAATTCAAATAGTTGAAAAAAAATTTTTTTATTCGCAAGTTCCCAATGACTACACAAATTATATACTTAAACTAATTTAATTTTTCAGTCAAGTAGTATTAAAACGTTATTAAATATTGTTAAATTTTGATCCAAAAGAAAATATGATATTTAATAATGTATGCTTTTTTTTCTTTGCATAACTTAAACATTTGCCACTTAAGTTTCAATTTTTTTTTTTTTTTTGACAGTATAGTCACTGATGGTCCTTTATATCAGAGAATTTGCTCATAACTTGTCACCTTTACAGTGTAATGTTAGAAGATTTAAAGAAAAAAAAAATACTTACCCGTAATACCAATGATTCTTTGATTGGAAGAACATTAATAGCTTTAAATTTTATATTCATTCTCATACATTGATACGCAAATAATAATAGCTGAAAACATATGTTATGCTCATTAATCGTTCCCGAAATAAACAGATTAAATTACTCACTTGTTGTAAAGTATCTTTGCAGTTGATACTGTGAATGAGGCACTTAACCAATGTGAAACGAATTCTTTTACTCTGTGGGATTAATATGTTTGTCATTAAATTTTTTCTTTTTTTTTTAAGAGAAAATTAGGTGCTACTTGTATGTCACCTCTGCGATTGCTGAGCTGGCCGACTTTGTCAGGAGTACTAGCATGAATACAGTATTAAACGAAAATATTGAAGAGGGTATTAATATTCGCCAGTTATAAAACTTCAAGATAGAACCATCTTGTATATAATAGTGACAATGGCCGACGAACAATGCAGTATAAACCATAACGAATAAAAATATTGGTAACGAATAAAAATCGGACACATCGTGTGATACTTCAATTAACATCATATGTATTTCACGCAGCTTCAATATTGTCAACGATTTTTCCGGTACATTTGGGTTAAATAAATCAAAGATTTCTACGTTGGGGAAATTTTTAAAAAGTTTTTTCAAGTAACGACTAATCATTTCAAATGACAATCTAATGAAAACAGTAATCAAAACATATTGCACCATTATTAAGTCAACTGTGATGTAATAAATTATTTTAAATGAAGAATATATCGGTTTGTCGGAGGAGAGAAAATACAATCTTAATATCATTGCAACTGCATGAAAAATGTAAGTAAATAGAAGAAAAGGAAAATCTTTACTTTTTTTAAATGTTAGCGTATCGTTTTTATTTATCCTCAATCTTCCGAGCATTATTTTTAACGATTGTATTTTTGTTAAAATTTCATTGGCGTTTTTTTGTTTCACAATATTTTCAATTAAAATGAAACACGCAGCCACAAAGGCTAATGTATCCGTTGCGTGAAAAAAAATGCGCGAGTATTTTTTAATTCGACTATAATTGGCAATAAAATCACGTAAGTTTAAGTATTGCATTATCACACAGATTGTAAGTAAAAAAATATTATACGCAACCCCAGTGTACGAGTAACGGAACAACAAACTATTAGAAACATTGTTTTTCGTCGAGATTTCGTCAAATTCCATTGTTGCAGTCCCAAATGTGCGATTAAAAAAGTAAAATAGCTTAATAAACGAAAGCTTGAAGTGATTTGATCTACTTGATCGTTTGCTTAGTGGTAATTTAGTTAGAATCATATCAATTCGAGTTTCGGGCTGAAAAAAATAAGATATTTGGTATTTTGTTTCAAGGCAATGATTACATTGTATAAGTACTCACATGTACAGCCATTTTATGTGAAAAAAAACTTAACAGCACTGATTCCTTAAATTTAAGATAGGATTATTTCACGAAAAATTTTTTAATGTATACAGCAGATTTTTAAATTTTGCATTTCTTACAAAGGTCTGACTTACTTCCAGTTTCAACACTCACTGAATGTGGAACAGTATTTTAAAAAAACAACGGAATATAATTAATTTTTTCGTGAATTTTTTTTTTATTTAAGAGAGACTAAGATTAATTTCCAGGTATTACTCAGCATATACCTACTTTCACATGACCTTCGCTTACTAAAGTGGCTAGTTATATTATTAGATATCACCATTTATCAGTAAGTAAATCTTAGATCCATAAATAGTATATATACCAAAAAATATTGAAATGACAAGTTGGAATTGAGTCTTGCGACCAATGGTCAGTCCAATGAATTTTGAATGCGCTGACCTCTGCATAACCTAGTTTTTTTTTATCACCAGTACAAAAGCTGTTTGTCAATTTTCTCACCACAAGAGCAGTTTGCTTTCCTACACAAAATTACAACAAATTTTTGTACTTTGTGCCCCATGGTACGAATAAATGCATTACTTTAACGTGAACGAGTATAAATCAGCCAGTGCCATCTGGGTCAAAATGTTGTATCAAAATAACTTCAAATGGCACGAGCAAGTGAAAAACGTGTGTAACATTCACTTGATATTGAAAGAAATTTCCACGTCACAATAAATCTCATGATTATTATTTATCATAGGTTTAATAATTAATTCATGAGGAAAATCGCAGAAAGAGTTTGTACAAGTTATTCCTCAAACATTTCTTTTTTTAACTTTAATATAAAAAATATCACGAGCAATTCGTACATACTCACTCAGACTTCAAAAATGATAAAATCATATTTCTGCAAAAACTAATATAACGCCCTGATCATTCATTCGGGGGACTCTCGATAGTAGTAAAATAGTAGCAGCAATTACCCGAAAGCTATGCAGTGTACTTACAGCACCCCATCGTAATAACGCTCAGAAAAGAAAAAAGAAAAAAAAAAAATCTCGAAGGATCAAAACGAGCGTGTTGTTGCACAAGAGCAAATGATCGAGCACTCCTTATGTTCTATACCTCATTCCCGGGTCGCAAACAACTCCACGAGGCACTTATCGGTGATCGATCGACAACAAAGAGAGTGAAGTCCCGAGGCCTCCTCGAACAGCACGCGAGCACGCGAGAGCGAGGGAAGACGCGACCTTAGAAAGTTGAAAAATTATCAAAAGCACGCAAGAACGCGGCAGAGAAAGAGAGAGAGCGCAACTTGTACACATTGTGTACGTACGGGCACGTACAGTCATTCACTTTTTTTTTCCCGATGCTGAAACGCGAAAACGGCCGAGGCGTTATATTCGCGATCGTTTCGTCTCCTCTGATGGTCCTTATTCGGCTACCTCTCTTGCATGCAGGAGCAACGTGTGGGAATTTTTTTCCTTTGTACAACACATAAATAATACATTATGTGGATATTAAAAAATAAAAACAAATAATTGCTGATCCATTTTTTGGTATGTAGCTCCTTTTTGAAGAAGAAACTTTAATTCTATCGGGGCTACAGTCATCGAGTATATGATACATCATGTATGTAGGTAAATTAGTTTTAATATTAAAATAATTACGTGTTGTGAAGTGTCATTTGCAAACGCTTGCCTTGTGGGTGGGAGGGTAGGGACGTAGTTTCAGAGTAGAAAATTAAGGCATATAGATACACTTTGTTTATGTTGGAAATATTATAATTTTCTTACGAAAATACCCAATACGACGGAAAGAGTATCGATCGAGCGACACTTAAGAGGGGTGCTCTCATTGGCCCCGAATCGAGTCGACGTATACCAACAGCTATGTATTAAAAAACCTCAAAAAAAAAAAAAAAAAAAAAACTTGTATATGTACCACCTGAGACGACCGATCGATCAAAGCGATCCGGATATCCTTAGTCATTGCTGAGTACAGTCTTCAGCTCGTTTGATTGACAGTCTCCGCTGCAGCCAAACTTCTTACTCAAAAACAAAAAAACAAAAACCACGGTATGGGGAATCGCATGTATACTTAATAGCAAACAAACAAAAGCTTTGCAGCGTTTTACTTTTCGCCTTATCGAGAAAGTGCATGTACGTGCATAACATGTATAACGAGTAGAACGCGAGTATAGGTATAAACGCACCGAGGTAGAAAAAAGAAATGAAACGTTTCGCAATCTCGTACATGATAGGTGTAAGTGCATACTAGTAAAACAAGTGCCGATGTGCGATGCGCTCTCACGGGTTTCTGGACGAAAGTTGCAGCTGCAGTTGATTCGGTGTATAAATTCCACACGGCTGTGTGTACAAATTTGAACTAAACATTTGTATACGATCCATAAATTCAAGTCGTTTAATCGTTTGCACTGCGCGTAATTTATCTTCGCGAACCCTATGAATACCGGTTCCGCGTTTCATTAACAGTATTATGTATATGTAATCGTATAGCCCCAAATGGCTGTATGTGCTTATACATGTGTACTATGATTTTTTCGTGAATTAATTAACGATGCAAGCTACAGGCAGGACCGTAAATTCAAGTGTGTTAATTATAATACCAGTGAGCGTACTTACTTTGCACCTTATAAAAAATATCCATAATATGACATAAATATTACGCAACTAGGGCTCATCTCCGTTGCAACGAATGAAAGTAAAAGGGCATCATTTTCGTGTCGAGCAACTGATAAAAAATCTGGTGATGTTGTTACCTGCTGGAGAGTACTGAGAGCGCCTTCGTCGCCTGGTGGCAGTCTTATGTGCTTGAAGACGTTGTAGCCCTGGAGCTTTTGGAGCACGAGGACGAGCAGCTCGGCACCGGCGCCGGGTACCCGCGTAACCATCAACACGTGCTTGCTCGAACGGGGAGTACTGCCACGAGCGCCTAGCTCTGCCAGGGACGGCGTTACGTGACGCTGCGTCTGAAACCGATGGAATTTCCCGTTTTTTCGAGTTCGATTTTCACGGTATGGGTTTGTGGGAAATCGAGAGCCGATTTTTACGGGATATATACTGGTACACAGGAAACGAGCGGGGGTTTTGCAACTACGCGACAAGTAAAAAAAAAAAAAAAAAGTCTCGTCCAATTAGTTGTTGGGAAACTCTCCTTGGGGGAGTTGGTATGGTTTATTTTCCTGGCGAATAGGTGCCTACATGTATTTACTTTCGATTTCTCAACTGTTTAATGCAAATTTGTCGTTGGGGAGGGAAAATCGTGTTCTACATTTTGCGCGAATCAGTCCTACGATTAGCGATTTTCCCACTGGCGTTTTTAAATACATCGTATTTTGCTGACACGAAAATCGAATGGCGGAAAAATTGTTGCGTCATTGATATTATACCGTTAAAAATCGGTGAAGGGCACGCGGTTGAAACGCGAACGTAGTTTTTTTATGATACGAAACATTTTTGTTCTTTTGCCTTTGTTTATGTTCTGAGGAAAAAATAATTCATGCCAATTCTAATAAACTCAAATATTTTCATACATTAAAACATTCGAAGATCCTTCATACTCGTTGGACTTCCAAAATGTCAGCAACAAACGATCTCCCCCCCTTATTATACTCCTTCTCGCCTTACGACAAAATTACCCAACACTTTTTCCCCTCTTACTTTCTCCACCCACGTATGTGTACACGTAAATGGATGTGGCCTTTCGATTTTTTTGCTTCTACGCGTTATTGTGTACGGACACGAATATTTATGATCAAAAGTCGCGTCAATGCATCGAGAAAACCCAAGATGCGCCAAATTTCACGAACAAAAGAATATCGGGTACCCATACAAAATTTGTGGGCAGCATAGTTTATATTATAAGTTGTACACACGCACATTTTACATTTTCATCGAGAGAAATCCGGTAAAGAGCAGCGGTTTTGTTTTGCGCGTATAAGTAAAGTGACGCGCGTATGTGCGTGCTTTTGATGGGCGCTGCATGGTTATACCCTGTAATGAGCGAGACGAGAAGTGCAGCGGTGGAAAAACGCTTTCACCGCGTGCTCGCCTTATTTTGTGCACAATATATATATACATGCGTGGTAAGAAGTACTGTGTAGCCCGAACGTGCTATCCGATTCAGGCTTGGGAATCGCTTCTTTTTTTTTTTTTATCTCTCTCTCCCCCTCGGTGCAGGTGATGCTGACGTGTGCGTTTGGGTTACGTAAAAGGGGGTTCCCACGAGTAACGCGCTAATTTTCGAAATGCTCCCAAAGTTTTGCCAATTGTTGGCTCTTCTGGCGCGTACTTGTTTTTTACTTGTACCTCAGAGGGAGAAAATTTTCTCGATAAAAGAGCTTTCCAACGATCGATATGTTTATAGTTATTGATCATGGGTATAAATAAACTTTCCGTAAATTGCAGGCTATGTACGCGGTGAAAAGTGAAAAATGTCGAGCCTGAACTGTCTATATTTATGGCCGGTGAAAAAAAAAAAAGAAGCTTTTCGTATGCATGCATGATTAATTATTTTTGTCTTCACGCGGCGCTGAGTTTCACTTTTTACCTCTCTCCCTCTCTTTTTCGAGTGCACAGAGAGTAATAAAATCACGGTCGAGAAATTTAATGTTCGTGCTCCTTTGTAAGTATAATACTTAAGTTGCAATTTTTTCCATAGCTGGATTCGTGGACTTGTTTATATAGCTGGATATTCAACGATCGCATCGAGAGAGTTTTTTGTTTGATTAATGCCGATTTTTATGCCAAAGTGTAAGTGAACCCTTGCAATTTATGGAGCGATGAGTCCTTTGTAACGATAAAAAAATATATGTGCAGTCAAGGTGTCGGATTGAAGTTTTTTTCATTGTAAAATCGTTGAAACGCGTAAATCTCTCTCACGCCCCTTACCGATCTCCATAACGATTCGCCGAAACTTCCGCTGCTACCGATCTTCCCCGATATACATACACAAATTGCACACATTATTTAGCCGATACCATGAAATACAATTTCTATGATCCCTGCTCTATAGACAGTAAGGGCATGTATACCTTTAGGGTCTCCGTAGTCCTCGAGACCGTACCGATCTCCGTCTCCCACGAACCGTCCATCCGATACGAGTAGCCCTCTACCACCGAAAACCCCTCCTCGTAACTAGCGTCCTCACTCACCAGCACCAATTTGGACGTAAGAACGAGGAAGAGCGTGACCAACGCCAGACACACCGCGACCACGACACCCCTGCAACGACGCATGCTCTTCTCCTTTTTTTTTTTTTTTCAAACCATGCGCTTTTTTCTCACGAAAACTTTTCCACGATCGCTAATACCGTATGAGCGCACTTTACGCGAAAACTACGGCAACTCGAACGCCGAGGCATGACGATCGAATTAGGGAGGAGCGCTCTTTTCGCGACGAGGAGCGCGCCGCGAGTGTTTCAGTCACTGGGTCAGGCGGGCCTCTCTTTCGCGAGCGTGCAAATAAGCCTCCTCCGAGATAGGTATACATAAGTACATGGGTGTAGATACACGTAAGCGTATGAGCCCCTCCCCCTATGTACGTGCGTACACTATACGTGTATGCCTCTTGCGAATGTTTGCCGGTGATGGTGGATGCCGAGAGGATCATGCTTCCCCCCCCCCGTGTTGTTGGGTACATAAAAAATATCATGTATTTTTTTTTTCCCCAGATCGGTACATTTAGGTGACCGGCATCACTCGATTTTTCCGCATCTTTTTTGACAAACAATCTACTTTTTAAAGTCACGCATAGTGGAGCATCGTCAAACGATTGCGTGACGCGAAGAGTCTTCTAAGAATGGAGCAGTGGATCTTACTTAATCAGAGAAGGTTGGGCTCTTTGTCTATTTATAATAAAATTTACTTCCCTGTGATAAATGTATTTTTTTTTTTTAGTGAGATCCAATGCTCCATTCTTAGAAGACTCTTCGTGTGACTGTGCTTCTTTTTAGGCCTTTTTTCTTCAGTTGCCTCTTTTAGACTGATTCATTTTTGCTTCCATTAGTTAATGGTAAAAGGTTTAAAGTATTGTAATTTTGTAAATATGGTCGATTTTGTAAGCCATGTAAGATAAGTAAAATATTTATAATTTTAGAGGTCAATTTTAGGGCAAAAGATAAATTGTAAACTTGCCGCCAACAAAAAAAACAACATTAACTTTTTATTTCATATCCATTACATAAGTTGCGGCTGGTTTATAGTTGATTACATGGCTCTACTGTAAATTGTAATAATTATTTGGATCAGCGCCATCTAGCGGTCTTTATTTTTTGGCCAAAAGTGGCTCCTAAAATTCTCAATCAGAGCAATCATGATTAGAGCCATTTAATCAATTATAAACCAGCCGCAACTCACTATAAAGCTATAAAATTAAAAAATAAGAATACATGTGTTTTTGGCGGCAAGTTAACAATCTATTTTTTACCAAAAAATTGACCTCTTATGTATTTATACTTTTGAAGATAAATTTTCTAGCAAAAAATAATTGTTAACTTGCCGCCAAAAACACATGTATCGTTATTTTTTTATTTTATAGCTTCGTTGTAAGTTGCGGTTGGTTTATAATTGATTAAATGGCTCTAAGAGCAAAAGCTCTGTTTCAGAAGTTTAGGGCCACTTTTTAGTTCAGAAATCTGCAACGCTAGATGGCGCTGATCCAGATAACTATACTATATGTACATACTTTCAGTAGAGTCATGTAATCAATTAAAAACCACCCGCAACTAATGTTACGAATGTACAATAAAAAGTTGACATATTCTGTGCTCTTTGCGGCAAGTTTATAATTTATCTTTTACCTGTAAATCGACCTTGAAAAGTATGAATATTCCACTTATCTTATACGGCTTATAAAATCTGCCATATTTACAAAATTACAATACTTTAGACCTTTTACCATTAACTCACAGAAGCACAGCCCTTTAACTTTGTAGTTTAAATAAACGGTTAACTTATATAATATGTAAATACCAAAATTTGTGTTACAGAAATCTTGAACAACGTTTAAATAGATACGTAAAGTAATAAGTCCAAAAGAGACAACTGAAGAAAAAAGGCTTAAAAAAGAAGTTCAGTCACACAGGAAGAGTCTCCTAAAAATGGAGCATTGGATCTCACTTAATGAGAGAAGGTTGGGTTCTTTGTTTATTTATAATCCTTCAAATTTACTTCTCTGTAATAAATGTATTTTTTATTTAGTGAGATCCAATGCTCCATTTTTAGGAAACTCTTCGTGTGACTGTGCTTCTTTTTTAGGCCTTTTTTCTTCAGTTGTCTCTTTTAGACTGATTAATTCACGTATATATTCTACTGTTTTTGATGCTAGTTGAGACTTTTAACTTGTGCGTTATCAAACTTTGTTATTGTAATATTAAAACCTCACAACATGAATGTGTGATATATTGCA